AGTGCTCTAGGGTTTTGTATCAGTTATCAGGTTCTCTCAAAAACCCCCAAAATGGCAGGAAATTTGTTGATGAATGGAATATATAAGCTGTTTTTTTTTTTCCCTAGTACTGCACATATTGGAAATGAGAGTAAGTGTTGTGTTTGGTTCATTGGTGCACTCATCCTTGGAGGAAATGGATTGCATTCAAGGCAAGGTAGAGTTGCTGAATTTGGTTGAAGAACTTGAAAAGAAAAAGTGCGAGTTTTTAAGTGTTACTAATTTCTAATCCAAATAATGCTTTTCTAATTTGGTTTGGAGTTCATGTGAATTTATACTTGTTGAAATTCTCCACCTAATATCAGGTGAATTTTGACAAATTTGGGACCAAAATTGCTGCAAGCATTGGAAAATGCTGTTGGATTTTCACCGAAATTAGGAGTAGAACTCAATAATGCCTGAAAATGCGATCGATGAGTGTGTAGTGATGTGTAGTGATCTTGTTCTCTGTTTGGAAATCTGTTTGAACTTTGAAGTTCTTTGCTATATTTGCAGATACTTCACTTCAGGTTTAATTTTTCAGATTGGGGTATTCTGGGTTATGCATATTGTGTGTTTGATAGTTTGACTCAGTAGAGGGACAATCTGTAAATGCATTGAAACTTAGATATTGTCTTGAAGTTGGCTGGATTTGCTCAACCAAGTTTTCTTCTTCCTTTTTTTTGTCATCTTCATTAGCAATTGGTTTGAAATTAGTGGGATTCGAGTGACTTGTCTTGGTTATCTTGCTTTGGTACTTTTTTGAAGTTGGTTGTGTCTTGTCACCTAAGTTTACGATCTTTCATCTGTCATCACTATTGGATTTTTTTCTGCATTGTGCAATCAGATTTTGATTTCGAGTTCAAGCGGAACAACAAAGTGAGGTAGGGATTTCAAGACATTGGGATCATTATGGCCATATTCTAATTTGGTTTGGTATAATTGAAATAATCAATTTTTTGAATTGAAAATGACTTCGCTGTACCTCTGTTTTCTCTGCTGTTCTAGCAAAAGAACCATGAGAATTTTGAAAAACATTTTACTTATCATTGAGAATTTCTCTTCCTATTCTTTCATTTTTTGTTTTTGCCATACTTGAGAAGCATCCATAGGGACTTGTCATTGATCACTCCATAACTGTATGATATGCATTGCTTTCTTTTTTTTGGTTAGCATTTCCATGTCTGTTGGGTTGTACTTTGTAGTCTTAAGGAGCTTTTATCGGTAAAGAATTTGATGAGATTTGCCGATAACCATTCAGAGGTATAGCAATAGTATTTTCAAGTATTGCATATTTGTATGTTCATCACTACTTGGATGCATCCATATTATCCTTTGATATCTTTTATGATATCTGGATCATTATTTTGTTTGAAATTTGGGTTTGAATGGCTGAAATTACTGAAAAGCTTTCTTCAAATCATCTTAAAAGCCCCATTGTTTGCCTAGAGTTTACTCAACATATGGTTGTTGCTTGACTTATGTTCATTTGATCTGTGAGAGGTTACAAGCTTCGAGTGTATACGATAGTATGGCTAGACTTATTCAAAATATGTCATTTGGCCATGTTATACCAATACTATGGTTTGATATGCTTATGTTACATTCAGCTTGTGAAGAATGAGTTTGTTAGTATTCTTTCTTTGTTCATGGGTAAGCTGCTGGACAAGGCCTTCCCAATTGTGTGCAATGTCCATGTTTTTTATCTCTTATCTCCCTCTTTGTCATCACTTTGTTCCAATAATAGTTCACTTTTGAATAAATGAGTCAAATGCTTGTTTCTCAGGTTGAGGGACATGTTTTTCAGTAAATATTGTCATTATCCTGCAATTAGCTCCTCTAGTTTTGTGGAACGTACTTGGTGCGATTTTGCTGGGGATCTCTTTTTTAGATGTCTTGGAAGTGGGTAACTTGTTTTTGACTGGTTAAGAATTTTATACATTTATAAGCAATAAAAAGCTACAAACACTGAAAGAAGTAGATATCCAAGGGATGTGAACCCCTAGCTACAAACACTGTGAGGCAGCATTAATTGGGACCCACTCGGTTGCGGAACTGATGCAAATGCCTCCAAAATGATTTCACTATTCGACTTGGTCTGACATGACAGGTTGCAGAGATCATTCTTCCTTAGGGGGCCCAAGCATTTCTCTTTCTTCTAGAATGAAGCATTAGGATGCTTTTGTAGGTTTTGCATCTCTTGTAGTGAGATGTTCTTTTTTACTTTTGTGGAGGCCTGGGAAGAATGCTTGAAGGCATTTGGATTCCAGGTTAGATGAACAAGGTGACAAGTAATCTTCTGAAACTGAACAAGGGTATCATTCAAAGAATAATGTGCACACATTCAAAGCGTGGTAACGGATTTTATAAATAGCTGATGCCCCAGGTCTTTGGTTTGACCTGTGTTTCTTGACTATCATATAACTTGAGACTCATCAAGTGTGATTTGAAAGGCTCTCTACGGAATGTTTATACCATAAATGGTTGGCAAGTCAGTGTATGTTCAACTATTTTGTAATTTACCTGTTCTATACATGGTATGGTTTAAGATGTATCTAATAATTTATTTAATTGGATATCTATTCATGATTGAACATTGGTCATTGGATATCATTTTACTTGTAGATTATTGGTCAATTCCTAGTATCCTTCTATTCTTCCCCCCTCTCTTCCCCCCTCAAGTATATTGAAAAGAAAGCCTGATTTTCAGGACACAAGGATTTCTTGCTCTCTTCACTGGGGACACAGGTGAGATCCGAGCAGAGGTCAGGGAACAAATTCACACTGAAGTGGCAGAGTGGAGAGAGGAAGGCAAAGCTGAGATTGTGCTAGGGGTCCTCTTCATTGATGAAGTCCATATGCTTGACATTGAGTGTTTCTCTTTCCTCAACCGGGCATTAGAAAACGAGATGGCCCCTATCTTGGTGGTGGCCACAAACCGAGGCATTACGAGAATTCGAGGCACAAACTACAAGTCCCCGCATGGAATCCTGATAGACCTTCTCGATCGACTCCTAATCATCTCCGCCCAACCTTACACTGAAGAAGAGATTCGAAAAATTCTCGATATTAGGTGTGACGTGGAAGATGTGGAAATGTCGGAGGATGCAAAGGTCCTTTTGACAAAGATTGGGGTAGAGACTTCTCTAAGGTATGCTATTCACTTGATAGCAGTTGCTGCGCTCGCTTTCCAAAAACGTAAGGGAAAGCTCGTGGAGATGGAAGATATCAGTAGGTTTACCAACTTTTCCTTGATGTGAAGAGATCGACCCAGTACCTAGTGGAGTATCAGAACCAGTTCATGTTCAATGAGGTTCCTGGTGAAGTGGATGGAGTTGAAACTATGCAAGTGTAATGTTGGGTTCTTCTTGCTTACCATCAATTTTTGAGATTTCATGTTTGATGTTACGGGAGAGAAGTCAGAAAGAGATGTCCATACACGCTACATAGTTCAATCTTAGGAATGGGATTGACGTTAAGGTGGTAGCACCACCTGTGACTCAAACTTTGTTTATCATGGTTGCACCTATACTTGGAAAATCATGGTTGTACCTATACTTGGCAAAGGTGGCAGGTCGGCCTAGGAATCGCAAGTTGGGGTGGAAGCAATTGCTCAGTATCTACTGCAGTGTGCTCTTTCATGCTGTGAGTTTTTTTATTGAAATCTGTAAATCTGTTTTCATAAATGCAAAAAAGAATTACATGTATATATGTTTTCATCATATACGAAATTCAGCCATTACATGTATATCTATTCTTTATTGTATACAAAATTGAGCTTTCTATACAACAGACTTTTCAAAATTTCAAAAAGTGTTTTGACTTGCAGTGAGCTCAGTTCAATTGAAGTTGCCGGCCTTGCTATTAGCCTCCTGTTAATAGGTGGGTTCATTGCATGGCCAGTCCTCTCGTTTGATCTCATGGTTCATCAAACAAGTTCCTCAAATGGCAGGACTTTGTGGATGTGGCTCAATGAATAATGTTGCAATAATTCCCCTTTTGCTATGTTTGTGGTCCGAGAAACCTAGAGGGAGGAATTTGGTTGGGTCAACTTGTGGACTCGATGGATCGGCTCAACTGGTTCTGGGTTTCGACCCAAACAATGGAACTGACGGGCCGAGCTTGGGTCTACTTGACCTTGACGTTATCCGGGTGGAGTTCACATGTACTTGACCTTGACCTTACCTAGGTGGGGTTCACATCTAGGTCTCGGTTGGATCCTATTGAGCTAGGTTAGGTCTTGTCAGGGCTAGCCTGCTTTATATTTGTATAAAATAAAACATATATACATAATGTTAATTATATGGAATAAATTATGTAAATAATGGTTATTTTTCTTAATTTATAGACCTAGACTTAACCCCACGACCTAATTGGTCAGGTCTGGATCCAATTGACTTGGACAACCTGAAACATATAGACCCATTCCCAGCCCAAGAGAAGCTCCGTGCCTTGCAACATTACTTGTGACTTTGCTTCATTCTGCAGCAATTAGGCAATGGACCAAGAAATTAAGCAGTGTTGCGTTGGTCGTCACTTACTAGGTCCAGACCTGTTTCCTCGTGTGGTCAAATGAGTTCCCATCAAAATTATGGGACAAATGTTTGCCATTATAATTTTAGAGAGAGAGAACATAAATGTTTTAAGGGACAAACAACAATGTTTGTTTATTGTTAAATGACGAATATTTTTTAGGTTGAGATATAGATGCATCAGTGGTGGATGTAAGCAGTGCTCAATTTATTACACTTAATTGTTGAATGGGTTGATTTCCTACTACTTGCATTGTGCACGTATGTTTGAATGGGCTGATTTCTTAGTGTTTGCATTTTCAATTATGTATGTTTAAACTATTACATGTTATTGTTGAATGACGTATATTTTTGAATTGTGAATAACGTATTTTTTGAATTGTGAATGACGTATTTTTTGAATTGTGAATGACGTATAGCTTTTAGGTTAGGATATCGCATGGTGAATATAATTAGTGCTCAAGTTATTATAGAAAAATAATATTGTACTTTACTTTCAATTGATATTATATTCCAAAAAATAATATTTTACAAATAATAAAAAATAAATAATATCTATGTCCCAATTTTAACTTTTATATCCTGCCTATTATTTAAGCTAATATCCAATTCTATATAAACTTTTTCCATATTGGCTCTATATAAATT